CTGGTGACTGGGACAAAGCAATGAGTCCTTCCAGACCCCTCTGCCCTTAACCACTGGTGACTTAAGGGTTCCCCACTTGTGCCCTGTTCTGTTGTTCGCTTTTTCTCCCCTTTAGCCTCTTCATCCCTTTTTAGCTCAGAACTGAACCTCTCCTTGATGTCTCTGTCCTTTCCCTGCATTCCAGAACACCTGCAAGAACTGTGGGGGCACCTTCTGTGAAGTTTGCTCTGTGCACGAGCTGCCCCTGCCATCCAGCATCAACCCTGAGCGCGTCTGCAACCCCTGCCACCAGCGCCTCATCCAGCAGTATTCCAGCAGCCCCTTGTAGGGAATGAAGGGCAGAGAGGTGACCAACAATGGCTGTAGCTGCTGGTGTTTTGGAGCTGTTCGGGGGGAATGTGGAGACACTTGCCCGTGTGCTTTGGAGGTCGGGGGCGGGGAAGCAGCTTCTTGGTGTTCAGAGTCTTTTGTGACTTAACAACAGTCTGAGCCTTCCCTGCACCCAGATCTGCCTGTGCTGTGGAGAATGGCATTGGGAATGTCACACGGAGCAGCCCCAGGGGGTGCCTGAGTAGCCCCAGGGCTCAGGGAGGCCCTGCCCAAACCAGAGCTCTGTGTGCACGTGTAAGTTGGGAACGTTCTCACCCTCACGCATGTGGCGTGAGCATGTGCTGCTGCTGCTGCTGAGAAAAGGCTCCCCAAATAAGCAGGAGCCTTTGTAATCCTCATCTCTGGCTGCACTTGAAATCCCATTTCCCCTTTCCCAACTGCCTTGGACAATCTGGCTCATCCATGGGACACTGGTGCCTGGTGGGAGCAGGTGAGGCACCAGAGAATATGTTCTACCTGCATCTCCCTGGCTCAGGGTTTGCTCTGTACATGGAAACCCAAAACCAAGCTGTGAATGTTCCCCCTGTGCTTTGGGGGCTGGAGTGGGGGGTTGTGCGTGTGCACAGTGCCCTGGTCTGGCACCCCTGAGACCCTCACTGTGCTGGCACAACTACACCAGGGCAGCCAAAGCCAAGGGTGTACCTGTACTCCCCATCCTGATATGGGAGGAATTGTGTTCCCAAGTACTCAGATACGAAGTCCCCATCAGACACAGAAGGTTTAGGGCCACTTGGATCCACCTCTCCCCCTTGCACACATGAGTATGTTGCAGTAAACCTGGCATTTCACTTTTTGTGGGATCAAAATGAAACGGGAACACTTTGCACCTGCAGAAATTGTCATTGCAAACACAGTTCAGACAGATTCGGGGTTTGTGGTACAGAATTCTTTGCTGCTGTTCCCTGAAGGAATTCTTGCTCCAAAAAAGCAGTGGTGGCTTCCTTGTGTCACAGGAGGGTTTGCTCCTGCACCTCCTGCAGTCTCTGAGTCCACAATGTTCCTTAGTCCATAGCAAACAGATGCATTGATGTGACAAATGCACTGGGGTTTGTACAGATACTGTTAGGGGTTAGTGGCTAATTCCTTGGAGAGGATTTTGTAGTTGTTGGACTGGCTGGAACCGCATGAGAAAGCATCTTAGAGCTGAGGTTAATGCCGTGGTTGCTGCTAGTTTGTACAGGAATTTTCTGTCCTAGATCCCTCTAGGCCTCAGCGTTTTCAGCCACACAACTCATCCTGTTTGCTGCTCCTTGTTGCCCCGTGGTAGTTCCCAGACCCGTTTCCTTGCTGCTGTCCCTTAAAGTAGGTTGTAAACGTTGTTGCAATACCAAAACCCTGGAATTCAGGTGCATTCCTGAATTCTCTTAAGGGGTGACACATGGGAGACGGATGGAGAAGACACTGAATTTAGTGTCAGTTTTGTGTGCATGCTGTACACATACAAACCAGTGCAAATTCCTGCATCCAGACCCAGTGTGACTCATTCCCTAAGGTGAAAGTGAGACCCAGGCAATTTCCCTCTTCGAGGGAACATCAGACTGGGAACAGGATTAGACTCCCCAGAGCAGAGAGGTGGCTGAGCCTCCCTCAGAGCACAGCACTGCAGTGGGACTGGCCTCGTGGGAGGTCGGAGTGGGACTGTGCCAAGTGTGACACCAGCATGGGCTGACACCTGGATGTTGGGATTGGGGAGCAGGGGTGGGGAACTTTTCTCATACTAATTTTGCTCCACATACAAGAATAAAAACTTGATCATCTGTATCCCTTGTTGTGTTTTTCCACCCGTTCTACTTTGGCTGTATGTGAACCACTGATGGATGAGAAGTGTGGGCTGAGGGATGAGCTGTGCTCTTGCTGCCCTGTGCAGGTGTGTGAGGATTTACACTACTCAGCTGCTGTCAGTTGCCAATCCTGGTGGTTTATTAATGCACCTGGAGAGCAAAACTGCTCCAGCCTGCACCAGTGGCCATTCCTCCAGCACAGCTGCTGCTGCTGTGCCACAGTCCCCACAGTCCATCACATTTAGTACATGCTCTCACACATGGCTCAACTAGATGTCCCAGTTTGTCCTCCTTGCTGAGCAGTGACACTTGTATCTGATCTTCATGCTTATGCCCACGGAATGTGACCACTTTGGCCTGCAAAGCAAGGAAGAGAGAAAACACAAGTCACTCCCTTGCTGCAGCTTGCTGCTTGCCTTGTTTCCCAATGCCCCACTGCATTTTATTGCCAGTGATTGTCTGCAGTACCACAGACTCCAGGGAAGACTTGTTCAGGTGGAGCTGCAGCACATGCACATAGAGGTTGTGATGTGTTTTAATTCCTCCAGTGCAGGGGCCAATGCCTGTCCTGGCTGGGCCTGTGCCCGGGAGGCTGTGCAGGATGCAGGTGATGGCTGGAAGTGCATCCTGGCCTGGATTAGAAACACAGGTTGGAGGGGCTGCTCCCTCCCTGCCTTGGGGAGCAGTGACCACCACCACCTCCCACTTTTGGAGAGGAACTCATGGAAGAGGCTCTCCAGCATCTCCCATGAAGGTCACATGAAATCGCATCCCAACCAATAGACCAATTACTGTTAATCCATGTCTGTGGAGAATGTTTAGCCATGTTTCCTCTTCCTTGCTAGGGAATACAAAACCATCAGAGCTTTTCATGCTGCCTCTGCCCTGTGGGACTGGCACCTCAGTGGTGCTGAGCCCCTTCACCCACTCTACACTTTTTTCTCTAGGCTGGATGAAATCCCAAGTGCCAGAGATCTCTAGATCACATGTTGCTAGAAACAGAAGGGACAGATTGATGCACTTACCACACCCGAGCCTGTGCCACTCTCACTAGCAGTCTTCCTTTGCCTTTGGATGTTCATTCAGGAATAATTCAATGGCACTGCACTCTGGGAACATGGAAGAGAGGAAGGATGGGGTCAGGCACTTCCATGGGTTACATTTTCTTCCCTCCTTTTCCCCTACTCTGCAAAACCCCTGGCACACTGTAACTTGGAAATGTGTATTTAAAGGGATCACACAGAGTGAAACAGCAGCTGGACAAGCTGTGCCAGTCCTGGGGTTGTAGGATCCTCCCTTCCTCCTGCCTTACCCATGTGTGACCCCTCCTTGGCCATGGCAGTGACCGCGTCCTCGTGGCTATCAAAATGCACATCAGCTGCTCCTGTGGCCACTCCATGGGAGTTGTATTCCACCATGAGCCTTGTGGGCCTCAGGGGAGCAAAAAACTGGGAAGGAAAGAAGTAAAGAGTTTGGTGAGAAAGAAACAACAGTAATGCACACTAGCAGCCAGAAACTCAATGGTTGTACTCCCAAAACCTGCCCAGCCACAGGGGTCTGAGCTCCTGAGCAGAAAACTGCCCCCTGTGCTATCTGGGTGAAGCTGAGGCATCCCCCAGTCACCTGTCTCACCCTCAGTGAGCTCCTGGCATGGTAATTCCTGCCAGGAACAAAAAAATCTCACACAGCACCCACATTCTGTACACGAGTCCTTCAGTGCAGAACCATTGGCTCTGCAATGCTGTACACTATCAAAATGAGTTAAAATTGGTACTGAAAGGATTCTGACACTGATTTCTGGGTGATCAGCTGCTCTGAAATCTTGCTTTAGGTTCTCAATGGCTCCTCAGGCCCAAGGGATGGATATTAAGCAGCCCAGCAAGCTTTAATCCCTTCCTATGCATGGAAGGGAGCAAATGCCTGTTGTGCCCCCAGAGCCTGTACCTCACATTCAGCCCAGAGTCACATGGCAATGAGGCCTGACAGACACAGATCAATCACAACTCTGAAACTGCCTCAGCTGTAACAATTAGCTGAGGCTTTTTCCTGGGAGTGACATTTCACCCACAGCTTCACCGGTACTCACATCTATGATGTCCTGGGCACTAGCTTGGGCAGGAAAACCTCTCATGTGCACAAAGTGCTGTGGTGATGATGAGGTGTTTCCAGATGCTAAAACGTGCCTGGAGCTTTCTGTTCCTTCCCTGCAAGGTTCTGTGGAGTAGAAGGAGAAACCATCACTAGAGCTTGCAGTTACCACTCCCTCACGTGACATGAAGGAGCCTGGAGGAATACCCAAGCCAGGGAGGGACTCACTGATTTCTCCTTCAGCATTGGAGCCTCCTGTGTGTCTCCATACCCTTTCTTCAGGAATGGATTCATACTCTCTTCTTATTCTGGAGTAGGCCATCAGCTGCCTGTCATTAGGCACATGCCTTTGCATCTGGTGCTTTCTGCTCACATACACTTCTATATACCTGGAACCCAAAGGGGAAGAGCACATGGCACATGTGGCACTCAGGGTCTGCAGAAAGCCCCTCCAGGATGTTCTCCTGCCTGGGCTCTGGGGGTGAGAGCCCTGGCATGGCAAGCTTCAGTGCTGAGCAATTCATTCCTTTACCTGCCACAGCCATGTCTAACTGTGAGGCTGTTTGAGGCTGTTTTCCCCTTGCTGCTCCTCTGCCAACTCAGTTATTCCCTACAAACCCCACAATAAACCCAACACCCAGTCCCAAAGCAGCTCAGGGAACAGACAGGCCCAGACAATGCACAGGGTCACAGGGAATACCTCAGTGCAGCCCTAGGATCTTCCACATGGCTATGAAATGGATGGGATTCCACTAGCAGAGTTAAATTTACATAGCACTGAAGGAGCAGTGTGATAAAGAAGGGAATATGGACATCCAAGGGAGGAGGGTTCCCAAAGGGAGCACAGAATAAGGGAAGTAACCCCATGGGCAGGCAGAGCTGACAGCTCAGCCCTCCCCAAACCCCCACTCAGTACTGCTGGAGGCGAGTTCTGGATAAAACCAGGAAGAATGGGAGCCATTCCCAGCAGGTTTGGAACCCCCTCCATTTATGGGCTGATCCCATGGAAAAAGAGGGTTGTGAGCTCCGGTGGGTGAGCCAGGTTAGCTCTTGTTCTACTGTGACAAAGGAAGAGTTAACAGTAGATTCAGAACTGATTCATCTCTACTGGGGAGGAGGGAGGTCTGTTAATTAATTTAGTTAATTAATTAAAGTCTGCCTACAGAGCAGCTGTTTGAACAAGGGTGGGGGGATAAACACAAGAAAGTGCAGCCTGGGAGCAGGAAGTAAGGATATAAAGGAAGGCAGGGGGATGTAGGAGAAGAGGTAAGTAGTTATCTTTTGGTATTTGAGGTGTAGAGAGAATTTTATAGAGTATTGAAGTTGGAAAACTGAGCAGGGGGAAAGCAGTAATGGTGGTTTGGGTCTTCTCTCCTGAGCTCAGGTCTGGAGATATTTAAAAGTTGCTTAAGGACAGGAACTGGGGCTGGGCAGTGCTTAGGTTAAGGGTTGGACACAATGACCTTAAAGGTTTTCTCCAGCCAAATGATGTTATGATCTTGGGAACAAGCTGTCTGTGCTTCTGCTTGAGAGGAGAGAGGGCCCTGTGAGGGCTCAATGCTCTGGAATAAGCTGGTTAAGGAAGGACAGTCCAGGAGGATGGGGTCACCAAAGAGGTGGGAGATGGTGGGAGTCTGCCAGGGGCACAGGTCTGCAGGAGGTGCAGGACCTCTGTGCCCCTGGGACTTGGCAGTGTGTGCCTGTCTGTGCTGCCCACTCTGAATGCTGTCACCCCTTTCTGTTGACATGAGACTGTCTTCAGGATGCCTAAAAACCTTGGCGTTTCTCTTAAAGGCCTCAAATTCCCCCAAGATCCCAAGACTGCAGGTGCCTCTGCTTTTCCTAAAAATGCTGTGGGTGTGAGGAGCCCAAGGCTGCCCAGGCAGGAGCTGAGCTGTAAGTCACAGCGTGAGCCTCAGAGGTGTTCTCCTCCCCCATGAGCCCCAGGGAAGTACCCACCTATTTCCCATGTACTCCTTGTGCCTTAGCAGGGCTTTAGCTGCCATTTCAGGAGCTGCAAACTGCACAAAAGCTTCTCCTGTCCTTCTGTCCCCGCGGTAAATGAAAGCTATGTCTGTGATTTTCAAACCTGGAGGTGGGTGGGGAGAAAAAGGCACTAATTGAGCAGGAAATTGTGCCACAGAGACATCTTTTTCCAAACTATTCAAGCTGATTGGGCAGCTAAATAGTTGTGAAACAAGTGCTCATGTTGGCCCAAATACCTTTCTTTCAAACTCCAATTTATTTGCTTTAAAGCTAGTTTTCACAGAAGCTTTAATTGCAGAAATGAATCAACCTGAGGCTTCAAATAAGTATAAGTGAATCCAAGTTCTAGACAATAGGTAGGTCCAGAACACAAATGTCCCTGCAGATTTGTCTTACTATCATGGTAGCTTTTCCCTATCTCTTTAAAACTCAGGTCAAATCCAGTGAACTTCAATTTTTGTGCTGCATAATATCATCGTGGGGAGCTAGAACCACCTGGATTGCTCCAGCACTGGGTGTGGGACTAGGTTCCAAGTGGCATGTGACCTGATGATAGAGCTGTGAACACTCACACTGCATCCACCTGGGCTGGAACTACCACAGAGGCATTTTTCCCTCTCAGCTCTGCCCAGCTATGCAGTGGTAACCACCCAACTACAGCTCAAAGCATCCAGCTTGCTCTTTCCTGCCCCAGCCCAAAACAGCAAGCGCTGATCCTGGGTTAGACCTGCACCACACCAGAGGAGCAAGGGAATCCTGCAGCCAAAAGCTTCTTCAGAAAGCTGAAGTGACTTCTGGCTTTGCCTTTCTAAGCCAACCTAAGCATCCCCTTAAGGAAGTAAACCAAGAGCACAGACCAGGCTGAGGTACCTGAGAAGAAATCCGCAATGTCCTCCTCGGTGGAGCTGAAGGGAAGACCTCGGAGCAGCACAACTCCATCGTTTATGGCTTGAGACTCATCCTTCAGGTTCTGCAGTAAGCCCTCCACATCACTATCATGCACCTCAAAAACTGCAGGGAACACAGGCATGGAACATTTTCCCTCTTGGGATTCTCCTATGGCAGCTTTCCCCCCAGCAAAGCCCCAGCATGATCCTTCCCCCATAGTGCTCTATAGTTCTGCCCCTTGCTTGTCCAGCCTAGGGAATTTTGGCTCGATGATGCTTTGTTGCCTGATTTGCTGCTCATTCCACCCCTGCCCTCACCACCCCAACTTCATTATTACTATCCCAACAGTCCTTATTCACAGGAGTTTCTCCCAATGTAACTTGTGCTGTTCCAAGTTCCAAACCCACCTTTGACGTAGCGTGCGCCCATGTACCTCAGGTTCTTTTCGAGGGCTCTCTGGACATCAGCCTTGGACTCCAGCTCAATCAGGGCGTCCCCCCTGCGCCTCCCATCCCTGTTGAGGAGGAAGTGGATGCCATTCTCCCCGTTTCGAATCCTACAGCCTGGAAACCAAGGGACACACACAGCTGCATCAAACACAGAAGGTCTCTTCCTCCTGACTACACTGCACAGAGCTAACCCCATCAGCAGGGCAAAACTCCCATTCCGGTCCTTAACTCTGACTTCAAACTAACTTGATATAGTTTGGCAGGTTGGTAAGTCATGTGAGAACTTGGATCTGGCCTCTGGAAGGACGGAGCACACTATTACTGTATGGAAGGATCAGCCCTGCAGAGGCCTATGAATTAGGGTCAGAAAGCCACCAAATTTTACTGACAGAAAACCAGTCAGTAAAAACACTCCAGCTTGTTTAAAAGAGGGGAAACTGGGGGTAAAATCCAATCACAATGGCCTTTAAAGGACTGACTTTGAACTGGATTGCCTTTGCTGGCTGTGGAGCTACTAAGAAGGGAAAGACTTGCCTAGTTAAACACAAAATGCCATAAGGATGAGCTTCTGATCATTGTCAGCAGTTTGGGAGTTACTTGTTTTACATGTGTCAATCATGAATAATTTTCCAGCAATAATAAAACTTTATCTTTGCCTGTCTAATAATCTCTAAATTTTCTTTCTGTGAAGAACTGAACTATGCAAACCCCGAACTATTGTGTTCAATCCTTGGACACAGAAGAGTTAGGCAGGAAAATGAACTCCCATACTATCAAAGAAGGTCAGCACATCTTCCTCGGTGCACGAGTAGGGGAATCCTTGCGCCCTGATGAGATAAACGTTGTCACTTTCTCCCTTGTGCGACTCCTGCTCTGAGAGATGACCTTCCTGGGACGGAGCATCAGTGACCTGCTACAAAAAAAACCAAAAACAAACCCCATGGCAAATCACCGAGGAAGGGCGCGGCTCCCGCGGCTGCAGGTGCTCAGGGTGGGAGAGGGGTGGGAGAG